CAGCATTCAACTACGAGCTTGTTAAGATTAATAAAAGGGACTGTTGGTGGCTAGAGGACTATAGTGTTCACTAAAACATAATTGGAAGAGAATTAAAAAAGAGAAAGCTAAAATTCTAGAACTCCTTCATTCATACATACGGCATACCAAATCGGCCATATTGCATAGGATATATATAACCTACCAAATGTAACTTATAACCTTACAATTTGACAGCATGGAAGCCTTTTTACTTGTCCCAAAGCCTTCAAAATTCTCCGCAAACATAGAACCACAATTTCTTGGCATTATTCAACTCATTCTATAGCTTCTAGGGATAAATAAAAAAAAGTTAAGAAAAAATAATCAATAATCTCGTACACTTTCTACACATAATACACTGGTGGATATAAACACAAGCATCTGGTCGCCTTCTTTGAATCACATTATTTGTCTTCCTATGAGTCATAGTTCATGCACAAACTTGCACCTTTGTAGGCCCTTTAGCCTTCTAGATCATCAAAGATGGTTTGCAAATGGAGGATGGGTCATCGACTAACAAAATGAAAGGAAGAATTACACAAAAAGGTCTCCAAGGAATCAAGAGTCCAAACCCTTCAAAAACAAGGAACAAAATTTCATAGTTCCCCTAACATTCATATTTCTTGAAAAATGAAAGTTCCACCCAGACTGAGAAGAGGAAAAACATACAATACTAGCAATGGAACTAATATGAAACATGACAACCGATAAAGCCTAGGAAACAAGGATGAAAAAATATTTCACCTCTCCAAATATTCTCCCCAAAAGCGGACTTTTACCTCATTCCAATACTCAACCTAATATGACTCAAGAAATCAATGAAACCCTGATAAATAATTCCCTCGAAAAGACTTCCAACTCAATAGATCGGAGTCCTATCCATTAGATTGAATACAATACAGAGTGATATAAAGAATCTTGTTTCAAGTGAAACTTCCACAACCACTTTCCAACACTGAAATATTTTTCTTAACCAAATTTCCAACTACCAACCCTCCCTTTACTCTAGATCTTTCCACCACATCCCAACTAATCAAGCAATCCTTTTTACCTTCATCACTACTTCCACCAATTTCGCAACCTGTACATGAATCTTAAAAATGACAAAAAAATGAATGGGGATACTAGCCATGACAATATGCACAAGTGCAAACCTCCATGCCTTATATTAGATACTCCATCCACCCAATTTTGCACCAATCCTACAACTGGACCTTAAAATCTCAATGACAAAGGATTTCCCCATTAGGAAATCCAAATACTTCAATAGCCACTCTCCAATCACACAACCTAACCTATTTTCTAACCTAGCAAACATATCCCGATTTAAATTAGTTCCTTGTTAATTTGTTTTATCCCGAAATTAACCAAAAACCTCTGTAATATCCACGAAATTTGGAACTTTTGCTCATCACCTGCTATTTAGAAAATAGAGTCATCTACAAACTGTAAACATAACACTTCTGCTTTTTCTCAAGAAGATACAATCACTGGTCTTCATCACTAACCTAATCTGCACATCCACCCCTAATGTGAAAAAAAGAAAGGGAGACAATGGATCCCCTTTTAAACAACCTCTAATCCATCTATCCCGAACCCTTATACCTGAAAAATAAAATCTAAGAAGCTTCAGTCCACATGATCATCACCCTTTTCAAAATTTGTTTTAAAGACAATTCCTTCCTTAACTTTCGACCTATATTGATCCATAACTTAATTTACTACCAAAGCCACAGCTTAAATTTGTCTGCCCTACACAAAAGCACCCTGCAGTTTCAAAGTAGCATCACCCACACTTCTCAATCTCATGGATAGATTTGTCAGAATCTTGTAACAACTAGTGACCAGACTTATGGGACAAAAATCGCTAACTTTCATGGATATTAACTTCTTCGAAAGCAAACAGATAAACAGCATTAGTGTTACATTTAACCTCACCCCTCTAGATAAACTCCTTAAAAAAAACCCCACCATATCACCTTTAGTGTCCTCCCAACATTCTTGAAACAGAGACATAGAAAATTCATCCGACCTAAGAGACCACCCTCAAAACTGTAGCTCTCACCTGCCACTCTATGAAAAGCCTTTCCGACCATCATGTGATTCACTAACAGACACCTATCTTAACCTATTATCTTTGGTCTCTCAAAAATTGGTGTATTGCAGAGATTCTCAAAAGAAACTAGTCATTTATTTCTAACTACATCCCCATTATTCAACTTTTAAGAGTATTTTACCTTCTTCCATAGGCCAAAGATGAAACAATCGTATTATTGTCACATTCTCTAACTCATCTAACCTTAGCCTATGTCAACAACATATCTCTTCTTTAAACACCACTTCTTCAAACTTATTTCTAAGCTTATTGCTTTCCTTCCTTAATTGTTCTCCACCTTTTGTATCTCCTTGATCCTATTACAAATTTTACTTTTTTAAATTCTTAAATCTCTAAAAGCCACTTTGAACCAAAGCTTAACTTTTGGATCGCATGTTCCCACTTCTTCATAAACTTGAATCACTCCCAACCTTCTGGGTTACTTTCTTGCAACCATAGTTATCAAATCGTGTATCGGAAGGCGTATCGTATTGTGTATCGTGTCGTAAGATACGGTGCAATTTTAAATAAATAATAAAAAATATATATACCTTTGAAAAAAAATCATACACTCATAAAAATATAGCATTTCATTCATACTTCACCACCTATTCAAGTCATCAACATAGTTCGCTAATATTATAATGCAAAGTTTACAACCATAGTTTACTAATTCAAACTTCAAACACCAAAGAGACTTTTAATCCAAATTTCTAACATTCATTTTGAACTCAATCCATAAAATTAATCAAGATTCAAAATTTTTATACAAAAAAAAAAATTAGTGTCTTATTTAGAAAAAACGACGTAGTTTCAGAAAAGAAAAAAAAAAAAAAGGTTTTACACGTATCGTAAAAACGTATCGTGTATCGGACAATACGGTGCAAAAATGATACATAACTACGATCCGTATCGTTTTATCGACGTATCGTACAATACTAACAACTATGCTTGCAACTACCACTAGAAATGACCCTTGAACAAGTAATGCTCCAACCACATACTTTCAAACCTAAAAGGTGTTGGACCACACGAAATGAACTGGAATCAGGCATCATGGCATAATAGTCAAACACAAACTAACAAAACCCAATTAAATTTTACCAAGTAAACCTACCATTTACTCTTAATACAATGTGTGACAAAGAGTCATATTCCCATAGAAACGTCCACAACCACTTTCCTGATAGAGCTATGTTTCTCTCTTTCCTAATAGAGCTATGTTTCTCTTACTTAACCAAGACCCCACTAGCAATCCTTCCTTCAATTTGCATCTAAAGACTACCTCTTAACTACTTAAACAATACCTCTCAACTACCTAAATGATTTTTTCCCTTTACCACTTCTTTCCATAAAAAAGTATCTCATCATCATCTCAACTCTTTTTGCAACCCACATCAACATATTAAAAAGATACAAAACTAAAGGACCTCTCTACAACAGACTACATTGAAGTAAGGTCTTCCACTCTTTGATAAACAATTCTTTTTCCATCCATTCAATTTTTTTTTGCACCTTCTCTAAAGTTGTGTTCAAAAAATCCAAAGATAGAGGATTTCAAAACCAGGAGGATTCCAACCCATCCCCCTGGCCCCCCAAATGGAAGCCTAACACTAGAAACATTAACCTTTAAACCCAAAATGAAACAAAATAACTCGATAATGCCTTAAATTTTAAAACTTTTACTCGTCACTTAACGGAAAGAAATCTTGTCATCCGCAAACATAAATGAGAAACCCCAACTTCTTCCATCTCAATCGACCTCCCTGGATTAAATTACACTCTCCCAATCTCTCACTAGCCTATTTAATCCATCAACAAGAAAGTAACCAAAAAAAACAATGGATCCCCTGTTTGTGTTCCATAGATGCATTACATTTTCCTCCCTACCTACCACTAAAGATAACTAAAATATTCATTGAACTTAAGCATCCCTTCATCCGCCAACTCTATCTACACTTAAAACCTTTAATCCAAGAATAAAAGTCTAAAAACCCCCAATTCACATGATCATATATTCTTTCAAAATCAATCTCAAAAACAATCCATTCCTTGCCATTCACCGTATACTCCTCAACATCTTCGTTTGCCACTAGAGCAATATGTAGTTATATGTCTTCCATTCACAAAAGCTCCCAGATATTTCAAACTTTTATTACCCAAAACTTCTCTTAGCCATATGGACAAAAGTTTCGCTAAAATCTTGGTCTGATTAGAAACCAAACTTATGATTCTGCAATAATTAATGTCCAACAAACAATGCTTTTTCGAAGTCAAACAATTGTAACCTGTATTGGTATTCACATTAACCACTCAGTTATCACAAACCCCATGAGTGCCTTGATTAAATCACCCTCATAATATCCCAACAATCTTGAAACACTGTCATAGAAAAACAATCTAACACAAGAGAGCTACCTTTATTGCACTCAAAAAACTACTACTCTCATTCTCAGCTCACTCTCCTTAAAAGGTCTTTCTAACTAACTTGTTTGACGTTCACTAATAAGACCCCAATCTAACCCCTCCGTGCGATCATCCTTAATAACTAAACCTTCACCAAGTTCGAATTTATGTAAGTTCTTCATTGTTGTCAGCCTATGAGATAAGTTAGAATTGTTAGCTCTTTTTTAACCCATTTAACCTTACCCTTTTGCCTCCAAAAAGTCTCTTCTATAAACATCACCTCCTCAAATTCAGTTCTGAGATCCACACTTTCTTTTCTCAATGCTCCTTCAAGCCCCCTCACCCTCTATAATATCTAACTCCACTATACGACTGGAAATAATGCTCTTTTGAATGCTAACGGCTCCAAATACCTCTCTATTCTAAACCTTTAACTAACATCACAAAGCAATTAACATAAGCTCATTAAAAATCATACCTAATACCTTTCACTCAGCTAGCGACCCTGACCCATGTACGGAGCACCACCCTGCTGTGGACGGCCCCTGCCCTGCCCCATATGTTGATTGTGGTACCCACCCTGCACCCCCGGCTGACTCCCATAACCACCTCCACCCTGATTTCCGTAACCTCCACCCAGATTTCCATACGCTGCAACATTGTTCACTACAGGCGGCACTCCCTGGTTCATCGGCGCACTAAGTCCTCCAAGCATATTCGTAAGCCCCAATCCAGCTCCCTGAGTCGCAAGAAAGGCAGTAAATGCCTGTCCCAAAGCCGGAGCCAACGCAGGCGCTGCCACCGCTGGGTTGAAACCGACTACAGCAGGAGCCGATGGCGCCATCAGATGCCCAGATCCGGCCCCACTACCGCCCAAATACTTCCCCTTTTTTGTGCCGTGATGATGGTAATGACCATGCTGCTGCTGGTATTGCTGCTGATGATGATAGTTATGTTTATTAGGTTTTTGCCCATCAACGGCCTGTTGAACATGCAATGTATGCCCATCAAAATTCTTATGTGGCTCTACTAAAGCCTTTCTAGCACTCTCAATTGTCCTATACACAAACAATGCAAACCCTTTAGGCTTCCCAGTTTGCTTATCCAAACCCAAAGGCCCATCCTCAATCTCCCCATATTCTGAAAAGAATTCTAATAGCTTTTGCGGATCCATATCCGCAGAAACATTGCTCACAAAAATCTTCCTCTGGGTATACTCCGAAACCTGAGGCCCTGTCGTCGGCGCTGGCGCCGGGACTGGTCCGGCAGACGCCAGCTGGCACGAGGTCATTCGATTCCCAATCTGTTTCTGGGGCTGCCTGAGGGCCTTCCGGGCACCACTCCGGTGTTTAAAGAGAATAAATCCATACCCTTTAGATTTTCCGGAGACCTTGTCGGTGACTGCTTTGCAATCCTCGATCTCGCCATATTTTCCGAACACCGAAATTAGGGTTTCGGCATTGGTATCCCAGCCAAAGCCGTGCACGAAGATCTTCCGGTGAGCCGGGTCCAAATCGGCCAACTTCTCTACGCTTTCAACGAATTCCGGGTACTTTGTAACGGTTTCTTTGAGTAAAACCACCAATTGATCTTTCGAAAAGGGTTCCAGAAGCCTCTCCACAGGCTCTTCCACCACTTCTTCCTCTTCCTCCTCTTCTTCTCTGCCGCTATCTTCTTCTCGTTCGCCATCACCGTTAGCTTCGGATTGTGGGGCTTGTTCTGCTAATACGCCGTCGTTTAAGGAGGTGTTTGCATCATCTGGTTCCTCTTGATCGGGGTTTTCTTCATCATTCCCGCCCTCCTCCATGTTTTCTGGCTCTTTTTCTTCGATGGGTTGTTCTTGTTCGTGGTCTACATGATGAGTTTGGGGTTCTAATTCCTCATCTATTTGTTGAGGTTCTTGGTCTTGTGGTGATTGTTCCTGCGGTTGAGCCTGGTCAGCTTCTTGTTGAGGCTCAGAAGACCGGACCTTTCGCTTCTTAGCCATGGAGGACGGAACGAATTGCAGGGTTGATCAGGGATTGTTCGGAAACTAGGGTTACAAATAGCCGCAGGACGACAAAAAATGGTCCGACGAATTGCAAGGTTTTCCTTCTTTGATTCCATCCTTCATTCCTTCCTTTTACGTCCGATGAATTACGGTTTGACCCCTTTAACTATGGGCTTAATTTTACTTTACCCTTTAAACTATTGAATTTTTCACATCCTTTCTTCAATTACTTGAATTATTTTGCAAATGTCTGTTTATTTTTTGGACGAAAATTGTCATCATGTCAAAACAAAATAGAAAAAATCATAGAGTTTGAAGGACAAAATACCCTCAAGTTCTAAAATCAATCACTGTAACTTGAATTAATTTTAAAAAATGTCCTTTTAAAGAGTGTAGGAAATATTAAACCTCAAGTTTGAAACAAAAGAAACGAGATTTTAATTTCTAAAATATTAATTAAAAGATCTATGCTAATAATGTCACTATAATTGAATAGTAATGCACATTGACATAGGTAGAAGTCATTTTTAACGTGTAGAGTAATACACAAATCAATTTATAATCTCAAAGTCTAAGTTGATACGTATACGACAATTCGTTTCAAATTTCTCACAAAAAGGCCTATTATCATTGACGCCCAAAAACTTGTGCAAAAGGAAGGCATCGAGGCAGTAGAAATCAATGTTAAGATGCTATAAAAAAAAAAAAAAACTGCTTGGAATCAAAGAAGGAAAGACCATGGTGAGTTTTGGTAAGAGTTATAAAATTTTGATAAGTTCCTTAGCATGGGTAGGCCTAATAATGGTTTTGTAATTCAACATTGCTATGCCGACCAAGATTTCTTAACAAGTTTTTCATCTCAAGTGATGTGACACAATTTTTACCATCAAATAAATATGTCTTATTAATCTTTAATGATAGAGATTGTACCACATTACTTAGAATAAAAAATTTAGTAAGCATAACATTACTATTTTTAGTTAGTTTGGAGTATCACAAAACCATAATCCAAGTCAGTTTCTTATAACTTCCAATGATAACTTTTCTTGAAGGAATTATCTTCCAACTTGTTTTCTCCTGCTTTAGTTCAGCCATTCAACTTCATCTTGGGGGTTGAAGAAAACCAAAGATCATGAACTCAAAATAGAAATAAATATGCTTCCTCTTGGTTAAGTACTAGTCATAGAACACAATCTATAAATATAGTTGTATTGTTGGCCGATAAGGAGAGGAACAAAAATGGTGGCGTGGGTTCGTGGAGGGAAAGATTGGGGAGAGTGCAAGAGGTGACGACAACCATTATACACAACATGTGGCGACGACAACAATTATACATATCGTAGTTCAACAATATTTGAAGTCTAAAACAATAACGATTGGTGACATTTTTATATTTTTTTAATGATAATTTAATTTTTTAATTTACAATCTATTATTTTTGTTTTTTGATGAGATTTTGAAATTGTAATTTTTTTTTAATTTAAATTTTGCTAATATATTTTTTTAATTAATAATATGACTTTTGATCATAAATATTTATAGGAATAAAATTAATTTCTTTATTAATATTTTTATATTCTTTTTATTTGTTGTATATGTTCTTTATCGAAATTGTGGATTAAATGATTGAATTTATTATAAATAAATTCATTGTTATCTTTCTTTTGGATAGTTTTATTATCTTTGAATTTTATTTATTTATTCATGAAACTTTCACCTAAATTTTTGTTATATTTTATTTGTTACGAATAAGCACTTTTTTTAATAAGAATAAATAGTTTAATTGGTGTTTTGCGTTCAAATTGGGAAAAAAAAATAAGTTTCAGAGAAGCAAATAATATGTTTAGTTTGGATTTTTTTTTTTTTTTGACTAAAGAGATATACTTATTACACTTCTTTTAATTGGAGAAAGAGATAGATTTTGTCAAAAAAAATTTTATTAATCTTTTTTATCTTTTAATAAATATGATTGTGTGAAGAGAGCTGAATTTTTGGGCCCAAATTTTTAATTTTTTTATTGGTTTATTCTCTCAACAACTAATTTTTTAGGCAATATTGTAATAAATTTTATTTTTTACCTTACATTTTATTATTGATCTCTAAATTTGAGACTTTTTTTGTATACGAGGCCTAAAGCCCCCGCTCATTTGCACTGTAGTAACTCTCTTAGGCATATAACTCCAAAGAAAAGTTTAAGTGGTAATAAGAATAAACTGCAAATTCAAACATCTTGAGTTTAAATTTTGATAATTCTTTAAGATCAGGCTATAAAAAATTTATCCATTATAAATACCCTAATTTCAATATGAATGACTTATCTTTGACTAAATCAGAGAGAAATTAGTTAAAATGTACGTAAGTTATCTCAGATACTCTTACCTCGAGAAAAAAACCTCTCCTGATATACCACACCCACCAACAAACTCAGGAGAGCTATTATCAATCTAAAGTAAGGGAAGACCATTTCCTAAAACAAAACTATAACTGAAGTACTATTGTCAGGATAAGGATACTGAATTAAAGACCAATTCATCACAAAATACCAGTGGCTCATCTGACATGATTGCGTGTTTGCGTGATAACTCACTACTCTTACAACAACAACGAATGCAAGGCTCCTAACCATGAAAAACAAAAAATCCAACGGGCAAGAAGGGGAACATGTTCAATATTTGAAATATTAACAAAATTAGTCTATCATTAAACCAACACATCAAATTCTCCCATTTGTTCCAGGTTCACAATGGCAGATGTAGGAAGAAAATATCCGAAGCAAGAAGATACTAACAGGAACAGACCAAACAACTGAAACAAGAGACAAAGCAAACAAACATACATCGAAGAGCAACACTACAAAGCAATGCAAGAAGGAAAACAGACAAACAACCAACTAGAGCTAATAATACTGAATGAACACGTCCTAATAAGATATAGAAATCTCGTGAGACTAAACTTCCCTGTCTCCCTTTTTGGTTTTTTACTTTTCCAAGTTTTGGATAAGATTGCTTCTCACTTAGCCATCATGATCCTGACAAATTCCTCATAGTTGATCTGCCCATCGCCATCCACATCGGCCTCACGAATCATCTCATCAACTTCCTCATCTGTCAGTTTCTCACCGAGATTTGTCATAACATGACGAAGCTCAGCAGCAGAGATGAAGCCATTCTGGTCCTTGTCAAAAACCCGGAAAGCCTCCTTGAGCTCCTCTTCAGAGTCAGTGTCCTTCATTTTCCGAGCCATCAGGTTGAGGAACTCAGGAAAGTCAATTGTCCCATTCCCATCTGCATCAACCTCATTGATCATGTCCTGAAGCTCTGCCTCGGTAGGGTTCTGTCCCAATGATCGCATCACTGTCCCAAGCTCCTTAGTAGTGATGCAGCCTGCAGTGACATACTAAAATATTACAGCATAAACTCATGACTTGATCAACATTTAGAAAAGATCAAGTGCATCCAGAAATGCAATAAAGCAAAAAACTGCATCACAAAAGGGAAAACCCATAAAATGGTCCAAAAGGAGGACAGAAAATCTGATGCAGTGAAATTGTTTTTAATAACAAATGAACAATCAAAGATAAATATACAGCCGCGAAGGTTGCATGCTAAAAAGCGCATTGATCCAAGTATTTAAACTTTTTTTTGGGTTCAAAAAGTATTAAAGCTGAGCAAGTCACTCTTTAAACAGGATACACCAGCACAGGAAAATCAAGAGAAAAAGGGAGATATCGTGTTTAGCCATGTCATACCATGTAAATGCAAGTTTGATAAAACCAAAATCAGTCCAGAATTGTCCAAAAAAAAAAATGTTTCTACTGAATACAGAACTAAAGCTATCATTGACTCCGATGTTGGATTTAGTTCTCCAGCCCAATGTATATTGAATTAGTCTTAATTTCTAAACACATGATTGATCATTTCACTTAAAGCTACCTACTTAGCAATACAAATATTATACCACATAGAAAACACCAACAATCAACCTACTAACAAAGTGTATTAATTGAAAGTATACAGAGAATAATGTGATAATCTATCAGGTGGTCCTCCAACAATGACAGCAGAAAGAACAAATAATTAAAGATCGCAATAATGAAGGGTAACAATGTCCATCTGCCAATAACAGAACAAAAAAAAAATCAAAGAATGTCAACAGCTTAATGAGGAAATACATAGATGAGCATAAGAAGGGATTAAAAATCGGTTGGCTTCATATGGGCACTCTAGCTGCCGGTGAAGTCCATCCAGACAATATAAAATTAGCCTAATATACAAACATCATGGTCAAATAATTTTGATGATGAAAATGGTATTATGCCATAAACAGCAAGGTGAAATTAATCCTGCATTGAATTCTCACGGATTAACACTCTTAACATCTGTTGCCATCGACTAGTTGGCACCACAACATCAACAAGAATTCTGCATTGAAATCTGCCCAGGTCTCTCCAATGGAATCACTCAACAAATACATTTGAACATAGTTGGTTCCTCTTGAATTCACCATGAAGGATTTGAAAAAGAATTGTAATTGAAAAGGACAACAATAACATCAACACAGCTACATAATACAACAAGCCCTATGAGATTATATGACAGTCATGGCCAGCAATACCACCAATCAAACTATTCATCTAAATCATCAGAACAATCCAAGAAACTACACCAGAATCCAACATCATGCGCCCTTAACACGACCAAAGTTTGTCCAATAAAGAGATCCGTTAGACAAAAATATTTTGAGAGAAAACTAACACTCCCTTGAGTCCCATTTATGGGATCTGGGAGGGATAGATTTTCTCATATGAAAATTACAAACAAATGATCAACGCTACAAAAATCACAAACTAATCCTCAGGCAAGACCCATCAAGTAAACCAATACCCACATGATTGGGTAAAATATAAACAAAAGAAAAATAGATCTGAATGTATGAAATTCCGAAACAGATTCAGAAATACACATAATATGTGTAACGATCAATAGAAATAGAGAAACATAATAACAGAACACAAAAGCCCAAAAATGGAGATCGGAAAGGGGTAAAAATTGACCATCGCCGTCCTTATCGAATAGGCTGAAAGCCTCCTTGAATTCGGAGATTTGATCGTCTGTCAGCAGTTCTGCCATTCCCTTAGCTTTGTGTGTGTGAGAGAGAGCGATTTTTTTGACAGACTAAGGAAAGAGGAAAATGAGCTTTATGTGTGCGTCAGCGGCGTATAATTTTTGGGTAAATTTAATACGGACCCCTGTTCTTTGGTCAAATGATACAATAATTCCCCGACATTTCAAAAATAATACAAAGTCCCCTGTAACATTTTGTAGGGCACCACATACATACATACCCCTTCCGTTTAATGGACATTAAAAGCCCTAACCAAAAGTGTTAATGTTGGTCCTAAAATTAGATATTTAAATATAAGTCTCCCTTCACCTAAAAAATTGACGGCCATGTTTTATGCTTAGTAATGATTTACGAGGTGTTACAGACTTTGACAGTTTGTTAGTGGCCATGAAGTTGATCTGGTGCAGGTGGAAGGTGGTGAGGTAGTGAAGTTCGCAGCCTCTGAGATGGTGAGGCGATAGAATTCGTGATCAAAGGAGGATGGTGATGGCTAGGTGTACAAAAATTGTGGTGGTGGTAGGTATAAAGGCGATGGTAGTAAAAAGAAGTGATCATATATGGGAGTGCGAGTTTGAGAGAGAGAGAGAGAGAGATGAGTGAGGGAGATGGTGGTTGGGTGAGGCACCAAGGGTGTTGGTTTTTTTAATTTTTTATTTATTTATTTGTTCATTTAATTTAACTGAAGTAAAGATGTGACCTAATTACAAGGGATTTGCATAAAATTTACCATTATGGTACCGAAAGGTTTTGATAATATAGTTTTGGTCTAATAAGAAGTGACATGGGTACAGCACAGCAATACAGTTATCTGATTTTATTGGTTTGTTTTATTATACAAATAAGTTAAATTAAGATTTACTATTATAAATTATTTTTGGCACAATACGGAATTTTTTTTTTTTTTTTGGGTTCATACATATAAATGTGGAATAAGGACTTGATGGTCCAGGGAGCATCTGATGCTCTTTCACCTGAGCACGTAATCTCTTTTTTCGCAAACCCCAACTTTCTCTCTCTTCATCAACTAGAGAGTGTCACAATCACTTCAATCCATTTGATCCTTAGCCCATTTCGAATTAGACATCCCATCAAGAAAGAAGGGGTAGAAATTGATTTTGCAAGCCAATCAATTGCAACGCTGGATTCTCTAGGTTAATACCGCGACTATAAAATAACTCCACTGTAAATCAACTATGGATACCCAACTGTTTTTAAACTCCACAATAGCAAAAATAATGGGCCGTCCTTTTTTAATTACAGAATTTTAATAAATCTCTCTTTTTTTTTTTTTTCTGGCTGATCATAAAGGGGTGGAAATACCACCCTAATAGGCCCTATGTGAGACCATCACTTTTTTCAAAAAACGAATCTAACTAAACTAACATAATTATCAACTATCGAACCCCAATGTACACTCCAAGACTCAAATTTCCACCCTCAATATAAAAAATTCAGACTGGTAGCCTACTGAATCACTCACTTGGTGGTAATCTCTCTCTCTCTGGGCGTGTGCATGTTTCTCTAAAACTACTGTGAAAAATAAGGGGGGAAAAGGAGAAACCAAACAGCACATCAGGGGGCGGTTAGATGCTTATTCCAGCAAGGTTAACCACTAACAGTCATGAAGAAGGCAAGCATCATTCGACCCAACACCATGATCAAATCCAAAGAAAATTCTTTTTTGTTCTTTTCCCTTTTCACACATTTTATTCTTTTCACTCCTCCCCCATCACTCTAGAGAGGGGGAGAATAAACAAATTGCCTTGGTAAACTGAAAAGGTCTTCCTCTTCAAAAGGAGAAGTCCATTCACGAGAACTACCAACAGCTGCTTCATTAGAAGCAATCCCATCCGGCAATCCCCTTACTGAAACACCATTTTTGTTGGAAAGAACCGGTCTCGTCGAGGCGCCAATGTTCTGCGCGGAATTATATGAAGCATATGTCCGAGACTCAGTGGTTTGCGTAAAAGAGCTAGTGCCTCGCAAATTCCCAGTTGGCCTTGGCATAGAAGGCCCACCATCTACACTCCAGTCTATATTGGTGTAATCTGACTGCGTCATTGAGCCACTGGTATTCCAGTCCACAGGAGATGATGACCACGATGAGCCATTTGATCCCGACCCAGAGAAAAGCCCAAGGGAGGAAGCGGCAGCGAGTGTTGAAGAAGCGCCTGTTCTTCTATTCAACATATTACTCCCTCGACTTGTTCCCAGAGATTCCAATGAGCCGGTGCTTGACACAATTTGCTGCTGATGTAGATAATGAAGTTGGCTGAACAACTGATTAGTATTTGCGTTGTTTGGGGTAAGTTTTCTTGAGCTAGAAATTTGTGGCATCAAGCCATTGGCCTTCATTGTTTCAACAGGAGGATACCAACCAGCTGCTGTCCCAGAAGGAGATATGCTTACACACGTAGCGGGCATCTGCCTCGGATTAATGGACTGAGGTCGCTGCATAACTATAACTGGTTCTTTAACTGACCCCAGCTGAAGGTTCTTTAATTCATTTCCAACAGCCACATACCGCGTTTCTGTCATGGCTGGTGAAGGTGACACATGCAAAGGTGATGCCAAAGAATAGGAAACAGAAGGATTTGATCTTGAGCTTGGCCACCATTTCTCAGGCTGTCCTGCACTTTGTTGCGGTTTTTCCCATTCCAACTTCGGTTGAATCCTCTTCAAAGACTGCATCTTTTTGCTCCCAGAATCCACAGATGATCCCACCGTATCGACTATTTTTGTATAGTTGAAGTCTTTTTCATCCTCTTTCAGTTGTCCAGTGTTAGATGAAGCTCGTTTTGTTTGTGCCCTAATCAAGTTCTGACTCATAGCTAGTGGAAGCTTACCATGACTGGCAGTGGGATCACCGGTTTCTTCTGGCTTAAATGGGGTAAAGGGAGGTTCCTGCTTCTGCACTCGTAAAGTTTCTTCTGCCTTCTCAAGATCACCCTCACAGGCAACTATAGCACGTTCAACCTCCTGCTTGGAGCACTTGTACATAATTTCCATGTCTGCTATCCGTGCAAGCTCCTTGGTTATGTCAATTTTCAAATTGTTCCGAGCATCAAGGTTATGTTCCCTTTGCTTATCTGTTTCTTCAACTCCTTCAAACAACCATGCTACCGATTCCTCTACTCTGCCTTCGTTCAGAATAAGAGCCATAGTGGCCCGTTCTGAAGAGAAACCCATTGCCACAAGTTGTTGGGCAAGTGCTTCTAGCTTTCTTGACATGAGATAGCCACTGCACCGCTCATGCAATTCTTGGGCTCGCTTCTCTTTTTGACGCTGATGCTTCCTCTCATTCTTTTGACGGATTTTTTCCCGTTTTCCATTATCAGCTCCGGGTACTGCCTCCAGACGAAGAGGGGGAGGAGACGTTTTCTCTTTGTGCTCTTCTGATTCGCCAGATAAACTACCGTTGTTGGAAACAGAGTCATACTCAACACCATTTCCAAATGACTTCCCACTATGATTCTCTGTCTCATCTATGTTCTGGAAACGGCCATTACCATGAAGAGGTGGGGCAGAAGAGACTGATGATGTCTGAAGTGTAAGAAAGGTCCCCAAAATTGGGTTGTATCCACTTGCCATAATACCACCACCTGCATTGGAATGGCCTAAAGGCTTCCCAGAAGCCTTATGGGGTTCCTTGCTAGCCTTCTTGTCCTTGAAATCAGATTGGAATGCTCGGGACATCTCTTCGACTTTGATTTCTTGAAGAATTCCTGCAGTTATCAGATAAAACAATTTACTTTGAGTACTGAAAAAATGGGACAAGAGCAAATTAGGCACATCTACTGCCTTGTGTAACGTAATGACAATTATTTCTTTTATTCCCTGCAAATGACTTGGTTTGTTACAACAGCAGCACCAAGATGGGAAAGCAAATATCCTACAACGTAAACATATGATTATGCTTGTCATGTCGACAGACTTCCAACAAGGAAGTCTGTGTACAGGCGCGTCAGAGAGAGAGGGTAGTAAACAAATACGTTAATGAAAAAGAGATTTTCCTTCCTTTCCTACCTCCCCTTCAACTTTTTTAATCCTTTAATGCCCATATAATAGAGTAATCAATTCTCCTCTATACAAAATCATGCATTTAGGAACTTTAAAACTTTAAATGAGATTTCTCTCTGTAATTTTCTCAAACAATATAAATTTTTGGCAAAGTATTTTGTTAGATTTGCAATTCTTGAAACCTGTAAGAGAGCTTAAATTTCATATATGGATGGATTATCTCTCTCAGTTACTCAATCAGTCGACATTTTCTTTAGTTTCGTTCACTTTATTATGTTATGAAAGAGCGTAAGTATTTCCATCCCTTACTTATGATAAAGTTCTGAATAGCTCAACAATGTTTCATTGTAATAATTTTTACCAACACAGTAAATGGGTCCTCTTTCTATTGTGTATGTTGTTTTTTGGGGGGGTTGAACGATCTACTATTTCATATGCTAGAACAAGTTCAAACAAAAAATTTTCATTCTATCATAATCTATCCATACTTGGTCGAGGAATAAAAAAGTCAAACATGTTCGTCACACGCATCAATCAAATTTGTATGTTTATAGCTTTAAATAATTATATTTTTGATAAAATAAAATATTTTGTTGGGATACTATATTGGCATTAGAGAAAGGAACAAATATGATCCTCATCTAAATCTGTAAAATTTCTATGTGATTTATGAACTTGTATATCCTAATGATAGTTTCCAGACAACGTTGGGGAGAAGGACTTGAACACTTTCCAAATACAATTGTTGACATGGCAACTAGAGCATTATTATGGCGATTATTTTCACAATAGTGTCAGATAGTGTATTACTTTGAAAAATAATGTTATTTTGGGCAACAACTCAACATTTTCAATACTGCCATATTAGAGTGTAGCATTGTCCGAGGCCACACTCTCATATGTAGACTGAGAATAAATGGGATAAATATATAAAACACAACCGATTAAAAGATTTGAAAGGTTGAGAAAGAATCTTATTTTCATTTTTGCGAGGTTAGCTAAGATGTGTGTTGGATTGCATTATGGAAAAATAGAAGCCCGAAAAGGAATACCAAATCCTAGTTCATTCGCCGTGTCTCTTAAAGTATTAACCAAAGAACACAATACCCTTTGACCCGAGGCATTCACGCAATGTTTTTAAACTTTTGAACAATTTTCTCTACAGATTTTGCTAAATCTGGAAACAAGATAGAACAGTTCAATCTACTATTATCCACTTATGAGTGTTCCACCAGCTCGACATCATTACAAGATTAACGAGATTATGACAATGGATGAGTTGATGCATCATTACAAGATTATCGACATCAGTATTGAGTTGATGCATTTATGAAATGCTGGTTTCTAATTAAAATTTCCTGAAGAACAATGTCTGGTACTGTTTGATTATCAATGATACCACAAAGGTTTTTTAACAGCAGTAACAATGTCTGGTACTGTTTGATTATCAATGATACCACAAAGGTTTTTTAGCAGCAGTGGAATCCCATTCTTCTTTCAACTAAGGGTTTAGCAGGATACACCAAATGCATAAAAAAACATGCAACTCAATAAGTGTGCTCACCACTCAGAATAGAATGCAAGTCCATTCTAGCCGAAAATCAAATATATTCTCTGTTGGGAGGTCAAAAACTTGGCTAGGTGTGGAATACTATGAACCGCTTCAACAGTAGAGTCAAAAAAGCATGGGCTTTCTTTAAGCCCTACATATTAAAAAGGCCCCAAATTTTAGAGTTCAATAATGAGATACAGATCAAAGATTAAAACCCATTATAATTTAGCTTAACAAAAAAACTCCTGAAACTCTCATCATATCATTTCAATTTCAGAAAAACAAAAGGAATTAAGACTCACACAGACACTGTCATACAGAGAGAGAGAGAAAGAGAGAACCTAGGATGCTTGTGGCTTGTGGCTTGTGGCTTGTGGCTTCGAAGAGGAGTCGGCGTTAGAGGCGAGAGTCCCTGAGACTCGAAGAGGAGGAGGCGCTAGGGATCGATCGACTGAGAGAAGAAGAAAGAGGCGTGAGTCTCTGAGACTCGTACAGGATGCGCTAGGGATTTTAGGATTTTTGTGCCCACATTAACACGTGTATATCGTTTTAAAAACTATACAGCGGGTCGGTAGAAAGGTGGAAATTTTGCAAATATTTAACATTTCTACCCGACTGTTTGCGAAATATCAAAAAATTCTTTCATTAATCGGCCGATTTTTGCAAAAGTCGATCAATCAGGTCGGGTAGGGTTGAAATTGGTCGGATATGAAAAATTTTGAATCTCTTCTTAAAAGATTAAGTCAACAAAATAAGATTTAAAATTTAAATTCAAAAATATAATCTACCTCAAACATACATATTTGAAAGAACAGAAAAATAGTTAACACTTGGATAAAAAAAATATAATAAGTATTTATTGCTCTCCCTTTTACAAATAAAAAATAAATTAAACACATTTTTTACTTCTCTCAAACTCGATTTTGTATCTATATAAATATAAAAACACTGACTAATTAAATTATTCATTCTCATAAAAGATATATAATCAAAAATAATTAATATAAAAAATTTTTTCAATAAAGTTGTTATTAGAGAAAATAAAACACAATAAAATAGTAAGTGAACATTACATATATAAATAAGTTAAAGATCATAAAAAATTTAAGAAAATAGTAAAATAAACAAAATAACAAAAAATTATGAATGTATATTGATAGTTGATCATGTAATACCATAATTTTTATGAATAAGATACAAAATAAATAAAAAGAACATAAAAATAGTAATAAAATAATAGATTGTAACCCAAAAAGTGCAGGTCAAGAGATGAGAAAAACAAACAAATGTGCGGACCTATTTGCTAAACAAACCGTACTTAGTCATGATGATCTATATATATTTACAATTCTTATGAATTATACTATTGAACAGTTACACACAGATAACACAAGTATGAAATAATATATATGTAATGCTTAATATATCTTAGATGCATAAATTATTAAAAAGGAAAAATTATGTAACACCAAGTTGTAACATTGAATATCTTTATTATGATAGTACCTTGTAATGGTCGACACATGATTTAACAAATTAAAAAACTACATAAAATATAGAATAATAAGTATATTACCTTTAATTATTGTGTGTCATCCAATAATTAATTTATCTTACTTAATCAATTCCACGAACAAAGACTCAATAGTAAGAAACGAGTAGAAAATATAATTGTTACGAGATGTGCAGACACTTAGATCCTTAAGGTGGAAAAGTCACAGCAGGGCTGGCCCTACGGCGACAATTAAAATAGTCGCCTATAGCCTAAAAATGTGGCTCCAATTTAATTTTTAGTTTTTAGTTTAACTTCATGTTCTTAGGCCCTTTTGAATGAATCAAGTTAAAGAACCAATGTACTTCACAAATTTATCTAAAGTCTTATAAAAAAAATCAAAGAATATAACAATTTCACAAGTCTATGTAAACCTTATAAAAAGTTCTAAAATATAACAAATTCTTCTAAAAAAAATATATAATAATAACGACTTATAGCTTTAAAAGTTGCAATCCCTCTAATTCTTTTCACTATTTTTTCATTCACTCTCACCACCTCTTTTCAATTATTTTTTTCCCTCCCACTCTCATTACCTTGTTTTGATTATTTGTCATTATCTTTAACTTTTTTTTTTTTATCTTTTTAAGACTTCATTAATTTATTGATCTATAAGATCCTGATTTTATAATTACATATAATTTATTGTCCGATCCCAAAACTCATAAAACATTAAAATAAATCATATCGCATCTTTCTATAAAATGTCCAATAATAGGCTCCAATTTATGTTAGGCCACCCTTAAACCATCTTCCCCAGTTTCATATAGTGCACCATAAATCCCCCAATTCAACTTCAACTTCCCAATTAGAGTTATAATCTCGATTCTCAACAACCATGAAGTCAAGCACCTCGCCTTATATTTCTCATGATACTTACTCTTCAAACTTAATTTCTTCCCTTTCTTAATATCCATTCACTTCTCTAATAGAATACCGTAAATATGTAGTGTCCCAATCCTATGTGGGACAACAAACATATTTTTGATATATTCTAATATCAAATCATAATTTCTTTAAATTATGAGTGTCTCTGTATGCGCGTGTATTTTTCAACCCTATAATTGGAAATAGCAATTGAGACTTTATCTGGATGTACGTGAAATGATTCTTGCATGCTTGTTGACAAGGGCAAAAAGATCAAGTTGATAGGGGGTAGAAATGTAACTTTCCTTCCCGCACTCTGATCTTTATATAACAAGTAATCATTTATTTTTCAAAATACTAATATTGTAAAACTGGGATAAATATGTAAAATCGTTTGTAGTAGAACTTATACCAACTATGTTTGATGTACAAATATATGTTATATAAGTTTGGATTGGTGTTGGAAGGGTTTGGAATGAATTGAAAATGAAAAACAGGTGAAATAGGCAAATCTAGACAAACAGTACTGGTACCACGTTGTCCAGAGGGCATACAATACCAATACAATGTACTGGTATTCTTTCTAAAAATCAGAAATTTTAAAACTATTTTGCCGAGCTTTGGGACTATGCATTCTTTCATTCAAATGTTATAAAAGGACAATAATAGAATACCAATGATGGTATGTTAGACCTCGAATAGGTTAATCGATTTAAACCTTTATTAATAGCGGTTCAAAGAAATAAAATAGTAATTTTAGTGTTTCGAGTGTAAATTTACTTTAGTATAAAGATAAATCATAAAATTAAATATTTTTAGGTTAAAATAACATTAAAAATGAATCCAAAACGTCTAAAAACCTTAGGGTATTATAGAAATCAAATTGGAGATATTTAGTGACAAAACCTTAATTTATGAGAAAAAAATGTAATTTTTGGTCCTATGAATAGTAAATTTTGGGATTGGGTTGACTTTAAAACACCATTTTCATCCCATTTTCTTTAATTCTCTCACTGCACTCTCACCCCAAACCACTTAGAACCCTAGGAGAAGATAAAGGAAGAAAGAAAAGGGAAGAAGAAAGTCTTTAGAACTTGGACTTTGCTTGAAACTTTTGATTCAAGGTAGGGGTTTCTTTCCACTCTTGTTCATTGAGGTTAGGGCTTACATATATGTATTTTTTTCACTCTCAATCATATATATATGCAATGAAATCCTTACTTCTTGATATTTTTGCAAAGATTCTCATGTTTTGAAGGAAGCTATGGTGGAATAGCTATCAAATCTCTTTTTCTTGCCTTAGAACCCTAGTTTTCAAGAGAAATTAATTTTTTCTTGATATATCTTTTGTCCTTGATTTCAAAACTTTAGTGTTTTATATTGAACAATAAAATGGTATTATTAATGATCTCTTACTTATTTTCTTAAATTGTTCTATGGTAATACTACATGTGAAATTTGGAAATTTTAGAATTTGCTTATTATTTGAGAAATTGTTGGGAATTGTATTTCATATGGATGTTTGGATGACCATAGGTGACCATTGACCAGGTATCGTAGAGTGGGTAAATGTGTTTCCTACTCCGTGTGGGATTAAATTTTTTCTACCACTCGTAGTGGGGTTGGTGTCTTGTGAGGACCAAACCACTATTCGCTCATGGATACCGAGGATGAGGGTTAGTATACTATTCCTGAGTTAGATTCGTCACTGTCAATGTGTTGGTTTACACCTTTCCTAAAAATTAGATATCCTTGAGAGGATTGGGTGTGTATGTGTGAGCCAGGATATTCTCGATGTATTTATTCATGAGAAATCATACATCATACATGAGATACATAGATATATAATGTTGTGAAAGATACGAAGTTGTGGTTTGATATACATTGTTGGAAATGATACAAATTATGGGTAGTGTTTGTTATTGTGAAAAAGGTTTATGATTGAAAATGGTTTATTGTTGAGAATTTGTTTTATCTCTTTTTTTAAATTATTGATATTGTTTAAACTTGAGATCAGATGAACTGTCACTGTTTTCTTTCAAAAGTTATATATAATACTTGTAAAATGAGACCGACTCGTTTTATATGTTTTCAAAATCTTGTCCAAGTTGAGAAGATTTTTCTACAGAGCTTAGTACTCACCCCCTACACACAATATTTATTTTTAAATCTTGGTTTAGAGAAAGAGCTCGGAGTTGATAAGCAGGTAAATTGAAAGTTGAAGTGGATGGGCATGTGGATCCGGAGGGGATGTCTAGAATTGCTATTGTTATGTACTAGACTAGGAGTTTCATTTGAGAAAATGTTCATGTTGATACTTTCCTTATTTCGCTGCGAGATAATAGTTTGGGCATATTCTTTTAGACGTAATTGTCATTGTTTGACATATTCTTTTGGATGTAATGCCCACGGTTTGACATATTCTTTTGGATGATGATGTATATATTATGGATGATAAATGAAATTATCTTTATTTATGGGTCTTATTAATTACTCTCGTGATGTGAATGATTTTTAGATAGTAATACTGTCTAATATGAATTTTGGAGTGTTACAAGAAATATCCCTTTAATGAGTAATAATCATTGTAAACCCATTTATCATTACGCATAGATAAGCCATTCTATTTGTAGTAGAGGGCACATTCAATCTTTATTTGTCTATTAGTTTTCATTTCCCTTCAGCACTGGGTAAAGCAATCTTCTAGCTTCCAAGGCTCTTCACTATATATACCACACCCAAAATCAATCACGGAGAGAAGAGAACTGACCGTTCAATTGCGAAATGGAAACAGACAAACTGATCAAGAAAGATAGAGGGATAGGTACTGCGAGGCTAATACTGAATCGACGAAAATTGGGGCTTTTCACCGAAAATTGGTTTTCCATGTGACTGGCCGAAAAACAAAACCATAAATAATTGAGCTCTATCGGCGCCATCTATCCATTTTTTTTTTTTTGAGTTAACTCCACCCTATGCTATTCACGTGTATCGATTAATACTCTATAAAATTATTTGATTATCTAT